CGCTACAAGCAGCTTGCTTGGGTTCAAGCGGAAGCCATGATCTTCCCGTTCGCTGCTTTCAACTCTAGCTTGGACCGGAGTTTCCCTTCGCTGTTGCAAACGGAGCCGCTCGAGTTCCATCTCGTGCTGCCGCTGCCGTTCCCTTTCAGCCATCTCCGCTTCTCTTTCTTCTTTCAGCTGTCGCTCCCTCGCTTCTCTTTCTTCTTTCTGTTGTCGCTCCCTCGCTTCTCTTTCTTCTCTCGCCCTTTCGGCTGCTAACTTCTCTCTCTCCAACTCCAACTTCAATTGTTGCTCTCTTTCTTCCTTCGCCCTTTCAGCGGCCAGCCTTTCTCTCTCCAACTCAGCTGCTTTTTCTTCCTTGGCCCTCTCAGCTGCCAACCTCTCTCTCTCCACCTCAGCTTCTTTTTCCGCTTTGGCTCTTTCGACCGCCAACCTCTCTTTTTCCAGCTCGGCTGCTTTTTCTTCTTTGGCTCTCTCTTTTTCTTCTTTTTCCTTCTGGGTGACCCACTTCCGTAGTTCGACGCCAGAAAGACCCATCTTTTCACCAAGAGTAACTAACTTTTCGAGATCCATTGTGTCTCGCAACTCGCAAATAAAACCTTGCCGCGTGGAAAAAGTATCTGCCTAAATCAGTCTACCGGAACACTCCCCTGCACTCGTTAACGAGAACACTGAACAACACACAAAATCGTTCCGATAGCACTATCAACAACTCGAGGCTCTTTCTCACTACTTTGGACACACTGTGCACCAAAAGGTCCTGTATCGCGGACGCCAGATTAATTGTCACACCGGTCCCGTTAATTGGGGAGGCGATCGCCGGGCTAATTCCAAGAGCCGAAGTATCGGCCCCCCGAACCGCACCACGAAAGCGTGGACAATTTAGAAGTGGTCCTTATTGGTGCGCCAGCGGACGCCGGCTGTGGCCCAAAGAACAAGACAGAGCCGAGAGTTGATAAACAAACAAATTATATTCTCAATAATGGCAGATCGAAGATAATACACAAAAATGCACACTCCACAATAGTTACATACAATACGTCACCAATCAGACAACGTACTACACAGTACAATCAGCCACACTCAAAACAACTGACACAGACAACAATACGCACTACAATGCAGTCGCATGCATTGAACAACCAAGACACTTAAGGACTAAAGAGATAGAAAACCTATTCAGTCCAAAGTCCTTGGAACAAAAGTCTGAATGATACTCTTCCGAGAATCACTCACTCAAAGTCCAGCGTTGTTGTCGTTCCGTAGTTCTCGAAGTTTCTCTTCCAGGAAACCTCGCGTCCTCAAATGGCCACTCTCCAAGCTTCAAACTTCTTCGCCGGAAATCCGTCGGCTTCACACACGCAGCTGTTGCCCGCGTCTTCGCTCGATAGCGGTAAACCCACGCTCTTGCCTGTAGCTCGAGCCGTCCCTACGGACCAAAAACTTCGCCGACTACACGGCGGAATCTCTACGCACTCTGGCGCTCACTTCCGTCTCCTCCTGTTCTGTCACTACGGGCAGAACCTTCGCCGACTACACGGCGGAATTCCTACGCGCTCTGGCGTTAACTTCCGTCACCTCCTGATTTCTCGTCTCGGCTGCTCGGTTAAATACCTTGCGCGCGACTTTACAGATGTTTCTCGTCATTTCGTCGGCGCGATACGCAGCGAAGGCTGGGGAGAGGCACGAGACGGTTCGACTGCCCTCTCCCGAGGATGATTCACTCGGTCTGACCCCGCCTCCTTCGTTCGAGAAAAATCGCGGTCTTGCTGGGCCGCCGATGTGGGGTGAGGAGGATCGTCTGCGAAGCCGTGCTTCTGCGGGGAGAGCGCGCGCCCGGGAGCCCTGGATGTTTGCTTTCTTTTTTTTTCTTTTTACCTCGCGGCGTTTCTGCCGCCCGTTGTCGCAAGTATTTGGCGGCGCGCTCTTGTTTAGCGCTCGTTCTGTGACAGGAGCACTCCACTACGGAGTCTCGCATAATCAAATGGTGGTTTTGAGACGTTAAATCTCACATATGAATCAATCAATCAATAAATCAATCATTCGATCAATCAAACGGAATGACCACTGGGACACCGCGGTGTACCAATTACCGAACAATCAACGACATATTGAAAGCGAACATTATCAGCGCTGTATGCGGTATGAACTGTTGAAGGAAATTAAGTCCTCTTTTTTTTGGAAAAACACATTTCCATACAGCTGCAGACAGTTCCGTTGTTTCGTAAACAGACACACCATCCATGGGACTGCTTACCACTCGATGATTTTGTTTGCTACTTCTCATTGAATTTTTCTTTAGCTCTGCACGATCCTATAGCGAACAAACGCGGGATATCTTTTTATTTACGCAAATTGCCATAACAATAAAAACAGTGTAGGGCCTACGTAATGCATGTTACGACACATTAGTTATACAACATCAAGTCAAGGTTGCTTAAACGAGGGATTACATTTTAGTGAACATCATTTGCACACTAACGCCATTCGTTGTAACAGCCTAGGACATTTAGTACCTGCACGCGGACCTCCTTCAAGGAAATTCCTATATTGTACCTACTTCCGTTTTGCAATGTGTGTTGTAACTCCCGCATGTAACAGTTAATCTTACAGCAGATATAAAAAAACTGATAACAGGTAAAACGAATTCAGCCAATGCTCCTCTCTCCTCATTCCTTAAAATCTGCTCATATGCGAGCAAAATATTTCACACAGGCTGCAACTCAACTGAGGCATTCGCACAGCAGGCATTCTTCCTATGGTACGCAATATTTGTGATACGCACAATCCCGTATATTAGCAAGCTAACAAAAATGACCTACAAAAATAGTTTTTTCACGTCTGGAAACTGCCCAATCGCTCACTATGAGCGCCATTGTCTTTAACGTGAGCGCTTTGCGCAGAACGTGAGGGCTCCCTGTTTACTATAGAACGTGTTCTTTGGCTAGTTGGTCCGAACTGAACGACGCTGTCCACATAGACGAAAGAAAAGAATGGAAGAGACGGGTTGTGGGTAGCATCCTCGATATTTCTTGAGGTCGCCCTACTGCATTTTAGCCCTACTAGACCATGCGGTCACGGTGCTTTCATAAGAACCCACAACCTCGTGCTAATATAGCGCCAAAGACAAAGCAAGTTACCTAGGCACTGTAATTCATATATCTACGTTTACATTTGGTTTCTCACGGCATAAATGTGTCTCTCATAATTATATGTTGGTTTTGGGACGTTGAATCACACATAAATCTCACGGCATAGACGGTGTTTATTGGCATCGTTCTCATTGCGCATGCGCCGAGCGCATCTTCGGGAGGGGGCACTGTACAAGTCGTCGTTGAAACAATAACTCCCGAACTCTTCCAACACGCTAGTCTGAATCTGAATTCTCCGCAATGTTGACTTGTTCGGACGAATGCGCGGATAAACGGGTGACAGTCACCCGCAATTAAAACGAAAAGGAGGTAAAGAGGGGGGCTGAAACTAAAATAATGTATAACACATTCTCTGTCTCATCCTATTCAGCGTATCTCGCACGATGAATGTACTTAACAAAAAAAGAACAAAGAGGAAGAAAGGCTCAAGCGGTGTTGAGCTTCTGTCTGATGTCCTCGCTAATACCTCGCAATAAGGACGTCGTCACCTGAATGGTCGAGAAACCGCGCATAACGAGGTGTTTTCCACTCCCAAGGATCGGCCACGTGCGGGACTCTTGCCGACCAAGGCTTCGCTATACACTAGAGCGTGTGTGCTGGGCAGGCAGGCAGGCGGAGTTCGTTATACACGGGGTTCACGACCGAAGCCGCGAATGACGGGCCGCATGGCGCGCTCCGTGTACGTGACCGTTCGCCGTAATGATCGTTTGCCTCGGCTGCAGCGGCGACGGGCGCTGCCCTCCTTTTAACGAAGGCGCCGAGGTTGGGAAAGAAAAAGCCAAGTGCCACCGCAGTCTTGGATTTTCTCCTTGACCGTTATGAAGAGCTCTTCGCCTTTACGCCCCTAAAGTGTGCGAAAAAGCATACCCCTTACACTCGCTCGTTTTTTTTTTGTTTTTGTTTTTGAGCGAGGAAACGATTCAGTTGCAGTCACAGGGGAACATAAATTGAAGTGCTTAAAACGTTATTGGTATTTCACGCTGGTTTTGTTGGGTGTGCGAAAGGAGTAATGTAATTTTATCACGAGAAACACGTTTATTACGTGTGAATTTCGTCGTCGTCACTTTGCAGAGCAGCCTACCGATGGAGTGTGCAGCAGGCACAGTTAACTGCAGAGGTCTTTTAGTGGGTAGTACAATCTATATTCCTGTTTCTGTTGAACCGGCAAGTCGTGATGCCAGTCATGGTAGAATTAATGATTGATTGGTTGATAGATTGATTTATTGATCGATCGATCAAGCGCGCATGTGTGTGTGTGTGTGTGTGTGTTTCTTTAATCAATATAATTCATTCCTCCTTGCTAGGCATGCGTTTTTGCATCGTGTTAAGATCATCGAGCCTTGGCACTAGAGCTACCATGCTCAATTCTAGCTTTAAATACTTTTTATTAATACCTATTTATTAATTTACCAATGAGCATCATGTTACCACCACCACTTTTATCCTCTCGCGCCGTCGTTCACGCGCAGTCCCCATCCGCCTGTGCACAGGACGCCGACTTCTAACAGACGCTGTGGATGATTTTTCCGAGCTCACGATCCTATTAATGACGCAATACCGAAGAAGCGCTAAAGAAAACGGGTAACACGAGGGAAAGAAAGGGATGGCAACACGAGCAGTTGTGTTGAAACCTGCTGCTGTGACTGTTCGATCCATTGATACAAGCGGAAATATTCAAAAGGCGTAAAATAATGAGCTCAGCAGCATCCCATTCATCTTTCATATTCCAACGTGCATAAGTTTATAGAAAATGTTGTGCGCGTGGGGGCGCTCGCGAATTAATGTCACCTCTTACCATGCTTACATCGTTACTCAACAGTACCCACTCTTCACTCTTTGTTTTTCCAGTGTTGTACCAGAAGCGTCTGAAGAAGGAACGCCGGTGTCGAAGACGCATCCAGGATCAGCTTGAGCTGGAACAGAAGAAGCGCTCTCAGTACGAAGAGGTTCTACGGAACAGCGCCACCGCCGACCACCGGTCACCGCCCGCGCAATCACTGCCGCAGCCACAGCCGACGCATGCGCAGGCAACGCAACAACCAGCGCCACCTGGTGAGCTCACTATTCTCTTCTTACTTACTGACAACTGAGCTAACCGCCATGGTAGTTTCGTGGTTATAGTACTCGATTGGTGACCCGAAGGTCATGGGATCGAATCCCTGCCATGGCAGTCGCATTCGTTGGAATGAAATTGCTAGAAGACCATGTGCTTTAATTCGGGTGCGCGTTAAGTCACCCCAGGTGGTCGAAATTTCCGGACCCCTCCACTACGGCACGTCTCATAATGGTATCGTTCTTTCGGAATGTAATATCCTAACAACTACTATAAGCTCCTTTACGCCCCTAAAGTGTGCGAAAAAGCATACCCCTTACACTCGCTCGTTTTTTTTTTGTTTTTGTTTTTGAGCGAGGAAACGATTCAGTGGCAGTCAGAGGGGAACATAAATTTAAGTGCTTAAAACGTTATTGGTATTTCACGCTGGTTTTGTTGGGTGTGCAGAAGGAGTAATGTAATTTTATCACGAGAAACACGTTTATTACGTGTGAATTTCGTCGTCGCCAATTTGCAGAGCAGCCTACCGATGGAGTGTGCAGCAGGCACAGTTAACTGCAGAGGTCTTTTAGTGGGTAGTACAATCTATATTCCTGTTTCTGTTGAACCGGCAAGTCGTGATGCCAGTCATGGTAGAATGAATCATTGATTGGTTGATAGATTGATTTATTGATCGATCGATCAAGCGCGCATGTGTGTGTGTGTGTGCGTGTGCGTGTGTGTGTGTGTGTGCGTGTGCGTGTGTGTGTGTGTGTGTGTGTGTGTGTGTGTGTTTCTTTAATCAATATAATCCATTCCTCCTTGCTAGGCATGCGTTTTCGTATCGTGTTAAGATCATCGAGCCTCGGCACTAGAGCTACCATGCTCAATTCTAGCTTTAAATACTTTTATTAATACCTATTTATTAGAGAGAGAGAGATAAAGATACAAGGAAAGGCAGGGAGGTTAACCAGACGCACATCCGGTTTGATACTCTGCACTGGGGAAGGGATAAAGGGGAGAAAAGAGGTTGCACAAAGATGAGAAGGTACACACAATCACGAGCACACTCGGTGAGCACACACAGTTCACAGGCGGTCGCTCAGGTTTGTTGACTTAAGGTAAAGAAGCAGTGCTTTAGTTGCTTTCTGCGCAACTGAGGCAGATGCCCAAGGTCCTAGTATCTTCCGCACACAAAATGGTCCGGGGTCAAGTCGATTCAAAACCATCCGTAGCTGGCATCGCTGTGTGTCGTAGCAAGCGCAGCTGCAGAGGACGTGTTCGATGGTTTCTTCATCTCCGCAGTAGTCGCATGTAGGAGTGTCCGCCATACCAATGCGAAAGGAGTACACCTTTGTGAATGCAACACCCAACCAAAGGCGGCATAACAGTGTCGCATCGGAGCGGGAAAGTTGTGATGGTAGCTTTAGCTTTAGCGAAGGATCCAGTTCATAAAATTGACACCTTTGGAAGCTGGTAGACGACCAGAACGTGCGTGTGAGATCTCGAGCCAGCAGGTAAAGTTGTCTTGCTGCATCATTCCTTGATAGAGGAATCGGGACTACACGGGTTTCTTCATGGGCTGAGCGGGCTGCATCATCGGCTAGTTCATTTCCGGTAATACCGATATGTCCAGGCAGCCATTGATATATAATATCATGCCCTCGTGCTAGAGCTTCATGATGGCAATGTCTTATTTCTTGTACCAGTTGGTCATGGCTCCTCCTACGCATGGCAGACTGCAAACTCTGAAGCGCTGTCTTCGAATCACAGAATATGACCCATTTTCCTGGACGTTCTTGAACGAGATATTGTAAAGCAGCCCTTATAGCAGCAAGCTCTGATGCCGTAGATGTAGTCATATGTGACAACTTAAATTTGATTGTCATTTCTGCAGCCGGAATTACAGCGGCACTTGATGAGCTGCTGGATGAGACGGACCCATCAGTGTATATCTGCGTTCGGTCTAAGTACAACTCATGTAATAATAGCAGTGTTGCTTGCTTCAATGCTACTCTGGAGTGACTGCTTTTCTTTTTGATTCCCGGAATTTCTAGACGTACTTGCGGCTGGTCGAGGCACACAAAGGGCATGCCGTTCTCGCAGCTGGCGTATATCCTGATGGAATGCTGTTTAGGTGCTTGGCTATGACGTCTGAAAACGTAGCACGTGGTCTTCCGGAAGGTAGAAGGGCCAAGTGGTGGTCGGGGACACGGCTAGCATGTCGAATGTGCGCTCTGAGGCAATCCACAGCTATATATGTCCTGACCGGATGGTCTTTGGCAAGCATGATTGTGGCATAAGTAGAAGCGCATCGGGGCAGTCCTAGGCAGATACGCAGTGCCTGACCCTGCAAACTCTCCAATGAATGAGTATTCGATTTGCAAGTGTTAGTCAGTACCGGCAAGCTGTAGCGCAATAGACCCAGAAATAGGGCCCTGTACAGCTGTAGCATGGAGGCCACAGAAGTTCCCCATGCTTTACCGCACAAGAATTTCATGATATGCACAATAGATAGCAGTCTCTTCTTCAAGTACGCACAATGCGGGTTCCACGAAAGACTTCTGTCGATTATTATGCCCAGGAAACGATGCGTCCGTGCATATTTGACACTCTGCCCATTGATGTAAACAGGGTATGGCGTCATTGGTTTGCATGTAAACGCCATCAACGCGCACTTCACAGTTGATATATTTAGGCCTTGTTTCTGAAGGTAGGCTGTTGTGAGTGTTGCTGCCCGCTGTATTCGTGCACGCACCTGAGGGCGAGTAACTGCAGCACTCCAGAGGCAAATATCATCGGCGTATATGGATAGGCACACCGACTTTGGCAGAACCTTCACCAGACCAATGAGGGCCACATTGAACAATGTGGGGCTTAAAACACCTCCCTGAGGTACTCCGCAGTAGGTGTAATGTTGGACAGTTGTACCCTCATATGTTTGTACAAAGAAACCTCTGCCAGTTATATAATCTTTTATCCATTGAAACATTCGTCCACCAATGCCCATTGCTGCGAGAGAAGTGAGGATGGCATCGTGAGCTACATTATCATATGCACCCTTCACGTCAAGAAAGAGTGCCACTGATATGCGCTTGCGACTTTTTTCTTGTTGAACAAATGTCGACAAATCAAGGACACAGTCAATGGAGGAGCGGCCCCGACGAAAGCCTGCCATGCAAGAAGGGTATTTGGTGTATCGTTCCAAGTACCACTCGAGACGAAATAGAACCATCCTTTCCATCACTTTTCCGAGGCAGCTTGCGAGGGCAATAGGGCGATATGCTGACAAGTCCAATGGTGATTTTCCCGATTTCAAAAGTGGTATAATCGACTAATTTTCCATTCTCGGGGAACACTGCCGCTGAGCCAGGAGTTGTTGAAGCATGTTAAAAGTTCTTTTCTAGCTTTTTGTCCAAGGTGTCCCAACGCACTATAAGTAATACCATCAGGACCTGGCGATGACATGCGCTTAGAAGCGACTAACGCACCTTCCAGTTCTTCCATGGTGAACGGAATGTCCATTTCTGGTAATCGCGTCTCAGGAACGATCACGGCGTCGATGCTCTCGTTCACAATATCCCGGCAACTCTCGTGCAAAATTCTTCAGCCACCTCGAGTTCTGTTTTTCCCTGATGGAGTGCCAAAGCTTTAAAAGGGTGCCGTTGTTGTGGAGAGGAGCGAAGACCACGAACTGTTCTCCAGATATAGACAGCGGTTTATGAGGGTCTAGAGATTCGCAGAATGCTTTCCAGCGTTCGCTCTCCAGTTTGTAAATGCGTCGTTGAATCTTTTTCTGGAGCCGCCTTGCTTCCTCAGATCGTAAATTGATCTTGTGCGTCTGTATCGTCGTTCTGCACGCCTTCGTATAGCTCGTAATTTTTCCAGTTCGATGTCAAACTGTGTAACTTTAGACGAAAATGGTAATTTACATTTGGACGCTTGCATAGCTTCCACTATGTAATTTCCAGGCTGCAGGCGAGGCCTTCTTGGCAAGCGTTCTCAACACGCGATGCAAACATCGACCAGTCAGTGCCAATTGCAACACCGGAAGAGAAATTTTTTACGATACCATCGATCGTCACGTAGGTGGGTATGTGATCACTCCCATGAGTCTCAATATCGCAAAACCACTTAACTTTGTGAGAGAAGCACCGTGACACCAATGTCAGGTCAAGGCAACTGCCATACGTGAGACCCCGCAGATATGTGGGGGTACCATCGTTCATGATGGAAAGGTCGTAATCGGAAGCGAATGTAACAATGTTCCGGCCCCTGGCATTCATCCTAGTGCTCCCCCAAAGCATGTGATGGGCGTTGAAGTCACCGGTTATGATCCAAGGCCCATCGGTTCTCATTAGGATGTCTTTTAATCTGTCGCAGTCAAATCGCGATGACGGAGATATATATCCACCAATAAGCGTGAACGAAACTGCATTCTTCTTCACACGAAGACACACGTACTGATTGTCGTCATTTGAAGTTATTGGGTGCGAAAGATAAGTCAAGTCTGTGCGAATGTAAATAATTACTTTGCTACGTTCTTCGCAAGCGGCTGAACAAAAAGCTTCATAACCGGACAATCTATAAGGCGTTGACACGTTTGGTTCACATATGACAAGTATAGGGAATTGATTGGCCCGAACAAATTGGCGCAAGTCCGAGATACGGGACTTCATGCCTCTGGCATTCCACTGAAAAATCGACGCACTTTTAACTTCAGTGCGGAAGTGGAGATTTTGTTGAGCCATTGTGCTTATACGAAGTTAGCAAGAACTGGATTCAGTGCATCCAGTATTTGCAGTGCACTCTTAGCAGACGGAGATTGTATGCTGCTCAGTAGCGTGCGAATCGTGGCAATTAATGATTGCACGATTGCAGCCACTTGCCTGTCTTGGTTGGAAAGATCTCGAACCGGGACGATTGCAGTCACTTGCCTGTCTTGGTTGGAAAGATCTCGAACCGGGAGCGTGGACTGGCCGTCATGAAGCTCCTTCGGTTCGCTTGATGCTGCTTCCCTTGGAAGTGCAGGCCACTCTGTCGCAGTCAGGGTATGCTCACTGGCTTTGTCCTTTACAGCCTTTCCCGCGGCATGTGGTCTGGGAGGCAAAGGAGGGGTACTGATGAGGGATCACGCAATCGTGTCGAGGAGGTAGCGGGCGTCCTCGAAGACCGACGCCGCGAAGATGCGCCGAGCGCATCTTCGGAAGGGGGCACTGTACAAGTCGTCGTTGAAACAATAACTCCCGAACTCTTCCAACACGCTAGTCTGAATCTGAATTTTCCACAATGTTAACTTGTTCGGACGAATGCGCGGATAAACGGGTGACAGTCACCCGCAATTAAAACGAAAAGGAGGTAAAGAGGGGGGCTGAAACTAAAATAATGTATAACACATTCTCTGTCTCATCCTATTCAGCATATCTCGCACGATGAATGTACTTAACAAAAAAAGAACAAAGAGGAAGAAAGGCTCAAGCGGTGTTGAGCTTCTGTCTGATGTCCTCGCTAATACCTCGCAATAAGGACGTCGTCACCTGAATGGTCGAGAAACCGCGCATAACGAGGTGTTTTCCACTCCCAGGGATTCGCCACGTGCGGGACTCTTGCCGACCAAGGCTTCGCTATACACTAGAGCGTGTGTGCTGGGCAGGCAGGCAGGCGGAGTTCGTTATACACGGGGTTCACGACCGAAGCCGCGAATGACGGGCCGCATGGCGCGCTCCGTGTACGTGACCGTTCGCCGTAATGATCGTTTGCCTCGGCTGCAGCGGCGACGGGCGCTGCCCTCCTTTTAACGAAGGCGCCGAGGTTGGGAAAGAAAAAGCCAAGTGCCACCGCAGTCTTGGATTTTCTCCTTGACCGTTATGAAGAGCTCTTCGCCTTTACGCCCCTAAAGTGTGCGAAAAAGCATACCCCTTACACTCGCTCGTTTTTTTTTTTTTGTTTTTGTTTTTGAGCGAGGAAACGATTCAGTTGCAGTCACAGGGGAACATAAATTGAAGTGCTTAAAACGTTATTGGTATTTCACGCTGGTTTTGTTGGTGTGCGAAAGGAGTAATGTAATTTTATCACGAGAAACACGTTTATTACGTGTGAATTTCGTCGTCGTCACTTTGCAGAGCAGCCTACCGATGGAGTGTGCAGCAGGCACAGTTAACTGCAGAGGTCTTTTAGTGGGTAGTACAATCTATATTCCTGTTTCTGTTGAACCGGCAAGTCGTGATGCCAGTCATGGTAGAATTAATGATTGATTGGTTGATAGATTGATTTATTGATCGATCGATCAAGCGCGCATGTGTGTGTGTGTGTGTGTGTGTTTCTTTAATCAATATAATTCATTCCTCCTTGCTAGGCATGCGTTTTTGCATCGTGTTAAGATCATCGAGCCTTGGCACTAGAGCTACCATGCTCAATTCTAGCTTTAAATACTTTTTATTAATACCTATTTATTAATTTACCAATGAGCATCATGTTACCACCACCACTTTTATCCTCTCGCGCCGTCGTTCACGCGCAGTTCCCATCCGTCTGTGCACAGGAAGCCGACTTCTGACAGACGCTGTGGACGATTTTTTGGAGCTCACGATCCTATTATTGACGCAATACTGAAGAAGCGCTAAAGAAAACAGGTAACACGAGGGGAAAAAAGGGATGGCAACACGAGCAGCTGTGTTGCAACCTGCTGCTGCGACTGTTCGATCCATTGATACAAGCGGAAATATTCAAAAGGCGTAAAATAATGAGCTCAGCAGCATCCCATTCATCTTTCATATTCCAACGTGCATAAATTTATAGAAAATGTTGTGCGCGTGGGGGCGCTCGCGAATTAATGTCACCTCTTACCATGCTTACATCGTTACTCAACAGTACCCACTCTTCACTCTTTGTGTTTTCCAGTGTTGTACCAGAAGCGTCTGAAGAAGGAACGCCGGTGTCGAAGACGCATCCAGGATCAGCTTGAGCTGGAACAGAAGAAGCGCTCTCAGTACGAAGAGGTTCTACGGAACAGCGCCACCGCCGACCACCGGTCACCGCCCGCGCAATCACTGCCGCAGCCACAGCCGACGCATGCGCAGGCAACGCAACAACTAACGCCACCTGGTGAGCTCACTATTCTCTTCTTACTTACTGACAACTGAGCTAACCGCCATGGTAGTTTCGTGGTTATAGTACTCGATTGGTGACCCGAAGGTCATGGGATCGAATCCCTGCCATGGCAGCCGCATTCGTTGGAATAATATTGCTAGAAGGCCGTGTGCTTTAATTCGGGTGCGCGTTAAGTCACCCCAGGTGGTCGAAATTTCCGGACCCCTCCACTACGGCACGTCTCATAATGGTATCGTTCTTTCGGAATGTAATATCCTAACAACTACTATAAGCTCACCGCAAATTCTAAAGCAGGGAGCCGACTTTTTATGCTGTAATATCATAAATACTTTAACTTTCAGTTGCCGTTAGATAATTTGTATTACGAGCCTTTTAAGAAAGTAATGATCTACGCGCATAGCCCTTGGTATGTAATGGCGAACCGACCACGCTTACTTAAGTGGATGTCAGCCTCAGCAGTCTCACACAAATGGCATTCAAACAAAGAAAAGGATGCGGAGGGAAAGGAGCTATTCTCTATTTCGCTATGAATTATTACAAAAAAAAAAAAACGATAGTATTCAACTATAATGTAACATCAAGGTGCGATTGGTATGTGCACTACCAACGTTAGTAGTTAGCCTCAAAATTCTTGGTTTGTTAACAGCGGGTGTCATGCATTGACAATTGTTTTATACCGACTGAATATTCCGGACGATATCGGCAAGCTGCGTATTCTGTATTAAGCAATCTTTATGGACGTGTGCGTGCACTTCTTATCAGTCCGAGGCTAATAAAAACCGAGTTACCAGCCTAAATTCAAAAGCAGATTTTTTTTTCTTGCCCGTGTACACGCAATGTATAAAAGCTACTTCAAGGCTAGGGATCCTCATTTTAGAAAGTAGCTAAACGCGCTCGCTTGTAGTTTACGGAATCGGTACATTTGAAACGGGGCGGAAATTGCCAACAGTGAGGTCACAATCAGTGGCATCTGGTGTAGACCGTGTAGGGCACCGTGTGTAGTGACCGTGTAAGCAGAAGCGTTTCCCAGGATAACCAACGTATGCCGTGTAACTACACCCTTCGCTGGCTTCTCAAGTGAACAATGGCAATCTCCTATTAAAAAAAACATAAAAATTGCCCGTCAAGTTTTCCGAGTTCACCGGTGCACAATCCTGCTGGCGAAATTTGTTTAAAATCATGCATTGAAGTGTGCTAGCAACCTTTAATCTTGACTTTGGCTACTACACGTGACCTAGCTTGCTGCAGGCATGGTCCTTTGCAGCGGCTACTCCTGTAGTTGATTCAGCTAACTCAGTTATATTTTTGTATTTAATTAATGCCGTAGGGCACACAGCGCCCCTTGATCTTTCAGTGCAATGACAGTTGCCAGCTACTCGGTGTTTCGGCGTAGCGTGATATGCCAGTTTAAGGAAAGGGCCGCCAGCGACAGACTGCAGGCTTGTGGTATGGTTATTGTGCCAGGGGTTTCTCTTTATTACACGTCCTATGAAGGGTCAAAGGGTTATTTGTTACGTGATTTCAATTGGAGTCGAGCTGGTAATAATAATAGTTCATGCGGCTTAGCGTCCCAATATCACAGTATTCTTTAGATTTTTTTTTATTTTGCGCATACACAAATACATGCTTTGCCCGCGAGGTAAGGAAAATCAAGGACATAAACCTTCTTACAAGGCCTCACAACACTGGGGCAGCAGTGGCAAAGGATCTAGAAATAGTGATGTGAATGTGAGAGTCGACGAAGTGGAGAGCTCCGCGAATTTCGACCACCTGCGGTTTTTCAATTAACGTGCACCTAAGTATAAGTATACGTGCCTCAGGCATTTTCGCATCCATCGAAAATGTGGTCGCCGTGCCCAGGATTCGATCCCGCGACCTGGAGTCGAGTCGGTGTTCGTAAAACGCTCGCGTCGGGTTTCGACCAAACCTGCGTCTCAAGTGTTTCGCTCTTTCCTTTAGGTGGCATAGCCAGCACTTGACGGGAACCTTTATAACAGAGAATTTCCAGGCAGCGCATGCAAGGTTGAGATGGAAGGTGCGCAAACCACTCGTATACGCTGGCGTGTTGCCGTCGATTTCTCTTTCTCGGTGACTGCACTCGCTGATGCCTCCAGTCAACGAGGGTGGAAAGGAAGGTATAAAAAGTGGGGGGGATCCGGTAGTGCATTTCGCCAGTCGCAGAAGGGTGCGAGAGAATAGAAAGAAAGGGTCGGGCGTAACAGCTGTTCGTTTCCGAAGATCCATTAGCAAGATGCTTAAGGGGATATTAAAATACGCCTCCGTTTCCTTCTCGGCGTTCTCTACGCACGTTTTCTTTCACTTTCCTCGCGCATCTGCGTCATTGCCGTTTCCGCGACTTTGTTTCAGAGGAAGCCCCGGCAAGTGAGGGAGAATCATTTTTGCTTTTGCCTCGCCCCCCTCCCTTACTCTTCCTCGCTTCTTGCAACCTCGTTGCAAGCTCCGTTTAGTTTCACAACCCCGAGAAAACGCGTTGCATGTTTATGCGACTCAGTCTCCCACCCTTTCAGTCGGAAGAGAGCGGTAATTTGCGATGTGCGCGGGTCGCTAAGCATTTGCTTTCTACTTATCGGGCAGTCTTGAAAACGGCCCGGCCGCCTTTGATTCGTCATATTTGGACGTATGCTGTTACCGACAGTGTTTCTGTTGTGCTCTGTGCATTTACTAAGTGCCACGTGCTTTCTTGGATTGACTCCTTTGTTCGTGAAGAGTCTTTTGTTTTTTCGCAAGGGCATAAATTTATTTAAGGAATCGATTCGCAAACCAAACTGCTGATAGAGTATCAACGTACGTTTGGCAAGGGTGACGAGCTGTACAGTTTACACACCAGAAACTAGTGCTTGTTGTCCTATGAGGTGCGCTCCAAGCCGATTCTACCCTTACCTCTTGATGTTTGAAAAACGTGCCTAAGAAAAGTCAGTTTAGGCTTTTTAAAAAGCGTTTTTACCTGGCGCGGAGACAATACCCACCACCATGCAGAAAACTAAGCAGACCTCAGGCTCTTAAACTCGGGCTTCTTTCTTCAAGTTAGGGCGTCCCCTAACCCCGCGCTACAGCACAGGATTTATCCCAAAATACAGCCATCTAATACATGCTCGTTCTGCAATGATGTAGCTAATTTACAGCGCATGCTCTGGTGGTGCCCCGCGTCACGCTGTGGTAAAGTCGTTACGCCGTCCAAATGGGATTGTGCTATGGCCAGCTCCGGACTCGAACAACAGTTATGTGCAGCCTGACGGGTCCGCCACGCAGCAGAAAAACTTGGTCATTCTGTCCCACGTCAGAGAGGCCCGCACCGTGCCGAAACGCGTTCCGAAGGACATAATAAAGTTCATCCATCCATTCATCCATCTAGACAATGTATGCAGATAAATTAACATTTTCTTGTGTGTTTTCTTCGGGAACAATGGCGTGACTAAAACAAAAATTTTACACGCTTAGCGTACGTACAATAAGATAGCTTCAAACTTGAGGGTTCTAAGATTACGTTGAAAAGCGCTACTCACACGAAGATCTGAAAAAAAAAAAGTCGATAGCGCAGTAAATTAGATCAATATTTGCTATAAAAGACTTATTAGGCATTGCAAGTAAATGTGATTGGGAAGTTAACGTGACAGTAATCGGGAACCGTTTCATTTTGACACTTCACTCCTCTTCTCTCTAACTTTTATTTCCTTGCCCAGTGCATATAGTAGCTTACTGGTATCAGCTATGGTTGGCATCTTTGCCTTTTTTTCATCCTTATTTTCTTGACACTTCGCTTAGTCAAAGGCATACTAAATGAAGACACCTTCCGTTCATTAGCCCCCCCCCCCCGCCTCCTCATATTAATTCACTGATTTAAAAGCCTCAAGAAGAGCACAATGATGTCCAACCCAAATCAATAACAGATGTCATTTGCAGCACCTCCAATCCATGAAGGGTCGAGAAAGCAACGCGCTTCACTTATCAACCTTCATCCTTGCCCCAAATGCACGTGTTCGAACCTAAGCCAGAATAAGTGTTAGGAAGTCGGCGGCTCAAAGTTAAGGATTGCGTTCTGAAGCCAAGGAAATGTCGTTATCACTTTTTGTCTTCTCTCTGGCTCATTTCCAATTCAACTTCAGTCACAGTTTCCCCTTTGCAGTCCTCGTTTCTCGTTTCTTTTTTTTTATTATTGCTCATTTATTTTTCTGTTGTTTCTCTATTTTCTTTTGCTTACTTTTTTTTCTGAGCTCCCACCGCAAATGTCGAGGCGGTGGCTTTGACGACGACTGCTTCGACATCTTGTTCACTTGAATCCGGCCCAGTGGGATGACGGAACATTTGCATGGGAGGGTTCCGATCGTTTTCCTCCCGAACGGATTGAAGCTCGTTTAAATAAGGGATATCCTCTTCTTCCCTTTGCGCCCAGAACGCCGGTGAATGAACACTTTTGTGTTCCTTTCTGTGTGGAATGCTTTTTTCTGTTCGAATGGTTCTATGTTCAGTTCCCTTTACTCCCAGACTCAACCCGTATACTTGCTATCTCATTCTGTTCTATCGGTTATTGCAAATTCTTTTTATGTTTGGGCTTCTCTCGTCCGTTTAGTTTTCTAAGTTGGGTAAATGTTCTTCCAGAGGTTGCCCCCGGTGGCGACATGTGGGGCGACAGCTGTTTTTCTTCGCATGCAGCTAACGACTCGCCCATATTTGTGTATTTTCCCCTCAGTACTTTCGTTTTGTTTGTGTTCCAAAAAACAATAAATAATAGGAAGAATGCGACGCATTGGCTGTGCTTTTCATATTGTTTTTACGTAGTTGTTAAATTTTGCTGCCTTGCATGCTGAAATGGATATGGCGTGTAAGAAAGCGTCGACAGCTGTTTCGCTGTGTCGTCGCTCGAACTACAAGAGTCGGTATTCGCTTTAGAAACGTACACTTGCACTGTGGTGCGTGCTCTTGGCATAAACAAACTTCAAAAAGAAAAAAAAATAGAATAAAGCTTACCTCATCTATGCATCGTTTTATGTTTCGGTAAAAAGTACTTCCTTTCATTTAAAGTCGTCATATGTAAGTCTTTCTCGTTTCCTACTTTCGAAAAGTAAAAGCAGTTGAATATTTTTTCACTTTTATGCGTTCATCACATCAGTGGAGCTTTCTGAGAAACCCATTGTTTACATTAAAAACAAAGACCGTCTAAAATGTAAGTGGTATGGGCATTTAGGTGTAAAAAGAAGAAAGTGACTGCTTACAGTTCTGGAAGCGCCTGTTGCATCCGATGGTTGTGACTTCACGTGTCGCACAAATAGGCTCACATGTGCACGTGCGCACTGGCGTGCACATTTGCAGGCGCACACAATGAAGACGCGATTTCGTGCACAGGACACACATAGAACATTGACAAGATAGTTAAGGCACAACTCAAGGCCAAGAGTTAAGGACATGAAGTTTGTCACGTGAACATACACCCGCAAGTAATAATAACTTCGTTAGGTAGTCGAAAGAGAGCGCCATTAAGTATCTTGTTGAAGAATCTGTTAACTGGCCATCGAAGAGGCTTTCCGAGTCCTCAACGTCGTTTCTGTACAAGAGTCCACTTTTTCTTCTTTCCTACAGAACGAGTGCCATCGCCAGACATGGATCCAGAGCGTCACAGCAGACAAGAATCCGAAAAGAAAGGTCTGTGCGTTTTCCCAGCTTTTCATAAAGTCTGCGTGAGCTCTGACGCTATTGCTTCCAGTTTGTATCCGTGGTTTTTGTATTGCCCCGCTGCGGGGGTCTGGTGGCTAAGGTACTCGGCTGCTGACCCGCAGGTCGCAGGATCCAATCTTGGCTGTGGCGGCTGCATTTACAATGAAGGCAAACATGCCGTACGCCCATGTTCTCAGATTTGGGTACACCCTAGGTGGTTGAAATTTCCGGATGTCTCCACGATGATGCTCTAATAATCATATGGTGGTTTTTGAACGGTAAACCCCACATATCAATCAATCAATCAATCAATCAATCAATCAATCAATCAATCAATCAATCAATCAATCAATCAATTATTCAATCAAATTAATTATAATCATATTGCCACGTTCCTTTTCTTAATTTTTGTTATCGCCCCGATACACTACACACAATTCTCAGCGCAAACCTCGCCTGCAGTTTTCGAGAAGCTTCAGGACTGTAGTATATCATTTCGATAAGATCACGCCCACTCCGCGAACTGCACTGGTTATTCTGGAACCTACGTCACCGCTAGAGATAACGCTAGAACATTCGGTGGCAACTGTATATATGCCGACGAGCTTCGCCGCTTGTCAGTTAATCGACGGCCGACGCTGCATGCGCCGCTGTCAGTGCAAGTGTGCTACCGTAACCCAACTTTCCGTTTAGCGGACACAGGTTCGCCCAAAGAAAGTTTGATCTGACCATTCCGTTTCCTGCCTTCAACCACGTCACGACCCCGTGACATTATGGCGGTTTCAGGATGTTAAACCCCACATATCAATAAATCAATCAATCAATCAATCAATCAATCAACCATTCAATCAATCAATCAATCAGTCAATCAATCAATCAAGCTGTCTTACTTGTCCCTATGCTTGTCTCCTACTGCGCTGGAACCTGGAGGCTTACGAATATGGTTCGAATTAACTTGAGGCCGATGCGGTGAGCTGTGTAAAGGAAAATGATAGGTGTATCTTAAAGACGGGGGGAAGAGAGCAGAGTGGGTCACGAAACAAAGGGCATCTTAGTACAAAGCTAGAAGAAATGGGCATGGGCAGGGCATATAGTGCGAAAGCAAGATAACCGCTGGTCATTAATAGTTACAGTCTAGATTCCAAGAAAATGCAAGCGCGTGAGGACTAGGCGGAGTGTTGGGTGGACAGATGGGATTACGAACTTTGCGGGGATAACGTGGCTGCAGCAGGCATGCAGGGTTGACTGGCGGAACATGGAAGATGCCTTTGCCTTGCAGTGGGCGTAGTCAGGATGCTACTGCTGCTGCTGATGATGAGGAGGAGGAGGTGGGGGAGAAAGAGGAGGATTGTGATGGGCTGCTTTTTAATGCGCTCGCATTTCACTGCTTTCAACTTACGTTTCTGAGAGCCAGTGTGGCACACTTTTCACACAGCACGAAGTCCTTCTGCTCATGCTCACGAGTATCTCTTCCTACTTGTTCCTTGATACATACTGATAAATGGGGGCTTATAGCTTCAAGCAAGAAATGCGCCCACAGATGAGGTGCAATGTCAGCCCCTCACCAGTAAACATACCCTATTAACATTCAGTTATTAAAAACAACTTCTGAGAGAAAACTAAGAGAAACCGAGAAGGTAGGAAATGAAATGAAATAGAATAACTTTTTTAAGATGGCAAGGTACTGTTACATCTTGCGATATTGCACAGAGGGGGGGTGGGTGGGTCAAGTGATAATTAAAATAAGAAGACAAAAATGCACTGCGGTACTGAAGAAAAAAAATGAACATAAGTGCTCAGCAACGTCACAGCCTCCAACAGCCTCACAGGGGGAGCAATATTACAACTAGGTCAGCCCACGAAGTGCTCACACTTCTGCACTGTGATTCCGCAATTTCATGTGCTTCAATCAACGTACGCAAGCAATAATTTCCACTCGCACCTCGGCAGTCAACCGTATAGGCGTCAACGGATGATTCCTCCTTTCGCTTGTACATACCTTGTGTTGACATTATTAAGCGGGCGTAGTGTACGGATAGTGATCTAAACTTCTCTCAAGCGGGACGCTGGTGCATGGGCCCAGACGGCCGCACAACTACGCGAAGTTGTGCGGCCACTTATAACGGGTCATCCAATAGCGCAAGGGAACGACGCTGAGGTTCACACGAGGCGAGGCCTAAAAGCTCGCCGTTTACGACGAGCAAAACCGTGTGAGCAAAGCGAGCAACGTCCGGACATTATGGACGCTCGGCTTTGCTTTTACGCGTGCTTTAGCTACCTGGCTTGCGCTTTTGTACCTTTGCCGACGCTCGGCGCGACGAGCGCGTTGTATGGTTCAGAAGGGGCGGGACTCATAGCAGCGCCAGCGCTGGTCCCAGCTCGGTGCGGGAATCTAATTAGCGGCGCCAACAGTTAATCAAAGGAGAGCGCCGTATATTCAGGAGCGCCCCGTACAAGCAGCGCGTCTTCCCACGCGACCCTTGCTTGCCAAGCGACCCCGTTGTTCCCAGGCACCCCTCCTGTGGCCAGTCACAGATGCTACTGCTGCTTTATGGTGGTTCACAAATTCCCCTGCTTGAGAGCCCGTCCCGTTGTTCTACTTGCTTTATCCTGTTTTTTTTTTCAATTTTGTGAGATTAATTTCGTCTTCGCTTATTTTGTATCTTATGATGAACCAGGACATGCGGGTGACGGATTCTTTATTGGACGCTTTTTTGTTGATGTTGCTTGAGCGTTTGTGCAAACTCTCTCTACTCTGTTCAGCCCGCCGTAATATTTTTGTGCCCAGTCGACATGGTGAGACACTCTGAAATAAGACTAGGTGGTGTCATTCATTTCATAAAACAGTGGGGCCGATATGACGTTTTTCTCAAAAGACTATAAGTAAAAAAATTCTACGCCTTACATCGGACTCGCAATTGGGGCACTGCAAATTGATTTATTACACAAAAAAAAAAACGGACATGGTAACAGCTAACTCATCGAAGCAGTGTTTACGTTGAGGTGTAGCTGTTTGTCACACGCCTCTCCATGGCTATACGAAATGCACGAAACCTCAGCTGTCCGCGGGCGCTTCACAAAAGTTAGCCTCGACACTTAGCGCTTGATGCGACGCTATGCATTTCGCCCACAAGTTTTCGACGAATCTCGCTTCCAAAACAGGGGTTCCAGCACTTTTGCTTCCTGAGTACGACACAAGCGGCGTTTGCTTATAACACCTCCTCGGGAGTACCTTGACACCCACCTCTCATCTTCCCACCCTGTAAACAGAACGATACACGAGACCTTCATGCTGCTTTCCTTCCCCCAAACTTCGGCCCCCCACTTGCTCGGCGCCGCAATGCGGCATCATCGGGTGCCACCGGGGGGGATGGTAAAGCGCGCCGCTAAAAGCGGCTTTGGTCCCGACGCCGTCCCGCAAACTGCTTTATGAATAAACATGAACTTCTTTCGCGCTCCGAGCCCATCGGCGCTAAGCTCCTGCGCCAGTATCGCCGCAGTTTAGGCATCGTCCGCTCGCTCCGGCTTCTGCGCGCGTTGGCGAGAGCCGTCAACAAAAACAAGTGAGTCAACAAGTCCGCGAGCAGCGCGCATCGCATCACCCGCCGTTGCGCCGTCGCAGCGCTAGCCGGCCTTGTTTATCGAGCAGTCACCGGCCGTTTGTCGCGCTCAACTTCCCCCATCACCCCCGATCTAGTATACACACATTCACGCACACTCTTGTTTGCCCAGGTCCTGTGCGAAAGCCCGGTCACGCAAGCACGCGCGGTATATGTTCTCTTGCTGCGCACACGCTCGCGTTTTTGTCTCTTGAGAGCGCGACGCCCCAAATGGCGCGGATGCGCCGTTGCATGCGCTCGTGATGGATTCGAAGACGTGCCGATATGCAAATGCTATATAGGCGCGACGCAGCGGCGGGGAGGACGTATCACCCGGACCAATCTCTGGAATAATTGGCCGCGCTTATCGCCGCTGTTCACGTCGCCAAAAACTCTCGCCACCGCGTGCGTCTCGCGGGAAGCTACGGTAAAACAAAGAGGTTCGACGACGAAAGAAAGAAACTCCGAGTTGGTCTTCTCCTCTCGTTACGCCCGAGGCACTCCTGGCATGAACGATGACGAGGTGCGTTTTTACCTGGCGTTATAGGCCGTGTTATTAGCGCGCCCCGGATATATGGGCAGCTATAGCCATGGCTGTTTTGAGACGAGCCCACATCTGCGAACCTGCCATCTCGAACGTAGAACGCTATAGCATGCCGATACGTTATGCGAAGGAGGCATTATGGTGCGCTATACGCTTTTGTTTGCCACACCGAGCGACCGTTCTCTCTTGCTGCTTCGGGAAACTTGTGTTTGAAGGGCACGTCTTTGTCAGCACATTTTGTCGCACGCAAGTTTTAACAATTTCCCGTGAGAAAGAATTGACATGGAATGTTCCACCCGTCGTGTGGCGTCGCTTCCCTGAACGTCATTCGCCTTGTGTTCATCTCTCTCTCTCTCACTTTGTTTCTTTCTTTCTGCTCGTTATTTCCTTTTTTTCTTTTTTCAGCGAGTAAATTTTTTAACGAATATTCTTATCGCTAGGACTTTTGACACCCTCAGTATCGTTTTCTTGGTGCGTTCACCTTTGAACAATGTGTCCTGTCATGCTCTAAACCTTAGTTTGGGAGTGGGTACGATGAGCGCAGCATTTTTGTTGCAGATAGCTACAGCCGCTTCAAGCAACACCATGTAACAGTGTCTTTAGAGGGCCTGTCACGTGATGTTTTACAAAACTGTGACTCGTACAAAAGAAATATATTGGGGATTAAAGAGCCGCCTTTTAGGAAGGCCATTCTACGATGGGGTAACAAAATTACTGAAGAAAACATGCACATTAAGAGACAGAGAAAAAAAAGCTTCATTAAAACTTACTTTTTTTGTCACTACTTGGTCAAAGGAAGTGGGGCAAGGGGTGAGTGATGGTAGACTTGCCTCTGCGGAGCCCAC